GCAGGACATCCCTGCACACGTGGAAAAGGGCGTTTGCCTTCCCTCGACTCACAACTCACCCAATAAGCAGAGAGACCAGCCTGTAACCAAGCCTCTGACTTGCCCTGGAAGTCACAATTTATGCTTCTAATTTTAATTTCCCTCAGCTTAGGTCCCAGAAGGATTTATTAAATTTGCTTTGTGGAACCCATTAACTCTAAATTGAATAATGATGTTACTCTAGGCTTAGAATCAGTTTGTAGTAAATTCTCCATGTACAGGACTCTAGGAATCCTACATTTCTCCATGACAGAATTTTAAGTCAGTTTGTAAATGAAAAGGTTTACTCAATTTACCTGCAAGTTACTGGTAATTAACTGACATCAAGAGACCATTGCTTGCAGAGGTGGTGAAGAGCAAATGAGAATGCTGGCAAGAGAGGATATTTATTACGTGGCTTCAATTAGAAGGTGGAAAACTCAAATGGCTTATCATTACCCCTCTGGTACTCTGGCTGAACTCTGGTGGAAAGGGGTAATAATGACTTAGAGCTAATTTTTATTTTGTCACTGGTTTGGTAGGCCGCCCAAAGCCAGGTGAGTAATTTATAGAGAATCTACCTAAATAGCCTGACACATGTATGCAAATCAATAGCCTTTCTTTAAAAGTCTTTTCAGCCCTGACTGGCGTGGCTCAGTTGATCGCGCATTGCCTGTTGCCGGCCCGACTCGCTGTGCGGGCACACGTGTGGGCTGCGGGCCTTGTCCCCCGTTGGGGCGCAGGCAAAAGGTAACCCATCAATGCTTCTCTCCTTTCTCCCTCCCCTCCCTTCTCCTTAAAAATAAATGAATGAAACCTTTTTTTAAAAAAAGTCTCTGCAGAAATTATGACGTCATTGGCATTGCATGGAGGACTTTCTTATCCAAGATGGGGTCCCGAGGAGCTAGGAACACCAGCAGGCAGAGGGGAACTCAAGGCGTGTGCCGTGGGGCATCTCTATGTGATGGAAAATGCATGTTGTGACTAACAGATGGCAGCTTTGGAAAGAAAAGACCAAGTGCTCTGAGGAGATGGGGTGGTGGGGGGCACCCAGGCCCTTCCTGGGAAGTATTCCTAGACTATAGGACAGAGTGGAAGGTGCTTGCTAATAGGAAACCTCTGCTCATCTTGGCTTGAGCTGCTTCTGTGAACTTACACAACTCACCCAGGCGTCGCTAAGTCCCTTCAGCTCCAACTGCTGGTATTTGATGCATTTGATGGAATGGGTGCTGGAATCAGCTCACTGCTTGGAAGGAACGATCTGGGAGTGTGGGGGAGAGGTCAGAGCTCTGTTGCCCTTCCCAAGGGAGGGTTCGCTCAGCCTTGCGGGAGCTCTAACGGCACCCAAGGCTGGTGGGGGCAGTTCGTGGTCCCAGGGCACCTCCTGATCCTCTGTGTTACAGCAAATGAGCTGCCGGGAGCACTTCCCTGGGTGGTTTTGCCACAGACAGACGCGCTGTGGACCCGTGCCTGCCGGGCTTCCTCTTCTGGAGTCCTCCACTTCAAAAGCACCTCAGCTGATTTGCTGTTCGGCCTGTGAGAGAAACAGCTTCATGTGGGAGCAGGCCGGGATGAAAGGGAAGAGAGGAGCTGGCGAGGAGAGCCAGCCGGTTCCGTAGCGCATCAAAGGCGGAATTCTGCCCGCGTCTTTGCAAGTGCTTGCACTGGGGTCGACTTGAGGTGTTTATAGTCAGGTGTGGGACTTACACTCAGGCCTGGCACTTAAAACCACACGCAACTATTCGGCGATGGGAGGCGAACACCATCAGATGAGTGTGGCTTCCCCAGGACGTGGCAGCAGTACAGCCCAGAAAATTCGCTTCTAACATACAGCTTTAACCTACCGTGTTCTTTGCACGTGTTCAGGCGTCGCTTTTCAGGAAGGCGGTGTTGGAGAATGAAAGTAGGAATGCACACGCAGTTTTCTGGGTTTCCCTGGTCTGAGCGTGTCAGACTCTAATTCGAAGAGAAAAGTATAGACCAGTTCACCAAGTGCAGGGACCTGATTCTTATTGGATCAGCATGTTGTCAAGCTGAGCTTGTCACTGCAACGCGAGTGTGATGAAGCCTGCCTTTTTGGACTGCGCTCAAAGCCCTGGCCTGCCAGCCTGGAATTGCTGAACCAAGCACCCCCTGATCAGGGGGTCTCTATGCAGATTTAGACACCTCCAGGAGCCTGGGAGCCTATCAGGCCTGAACCGATTATCCTAATCAAGTGTTTGAATTAAGCGCGTATTGCCAGGATCATAAGGAGGAGGCCTGCTCTGGAGCAGTATTTTTTTTCCCTTCTTCTTTAGTGATAATGTTTGGCTTTGTAGGGGTGTATTTAACGTTTTTCTAAGGCAGGGCAAGGGACAGTCCCCTGTGAAGGGCATGTCGCTGAGAGGGCGGTCTGGCCGGCGGACACAGACATTAGAAAAAAACAAAAGAGAAGATATTCCCAGCTGGGTTGCAGGTGAATCAATACCCCAACCACTGCATGTATTTGCATCCTCCACTTTAACACACAAAAGCAACGCTGGGTAGCCCAAGATTAAAAAAGAAAATGTAAACACACACACATTGGGTTGGCTTTTATTGGAATGCCTAGATGCAATCTATAGTCATCAAGTTATGGAAAATTCAGGTCACATATAAAGTTAAGAAGGCAAATGAAAAGAACAATACAAATCAGACAAAATTTACATCTCAAAATATCATGAAAGCATTTTGACTGGCTTCGCCTAAAATACTTTGAATATCAATTTCTTTTTTTTTTTTGTAAGCTAATTCTTTTCATTATACAGTTCCCCCACACCCCGAACTCTTAGAAAAAGGTCTTTTGTTTACATATTCCCCAAGGTCACTATTTCTTGTAAAAGCATGTCCGGATCACAAGTCTTTTTAGAAAGAAATAGGCTCATTATACCCACTAACAAGACACTAATCGGGTGGATTTGACTTCATCTAAAATGAGCACCAGGAGATACTGTGAATCTGTTATTTTTCTGGGCCAGTGGAAGGGGCCGGTCCATGTTGAGAAGAGGGTAAGAGTATGATTTCACTTCGGTCACGAGGTACAAGCTTTTCATGGTCAATACATCAGGGACATTTCCGAGAATTTAGACTCAGAGCCTCTTTCAACCGAAAGTACTTACAGCATGCTAGACACAGTCCTGCGGAAATTTCCATCGAACAGAACTGCAAACACCTAAGTTAACAGTTAAAGAATAAAACGTAAAACAGAGCCATGTTTATGTGGTTTGAAATCTCATAGTTTCCTAAATTTGGGCTTCATAATACTTGCCAAAGGATTTCCAGGATAAAAAATATTAATGCTAATCTGTGCTTTCATTCTAATAAAATATCAGCATTCATTAGAAGATTAATTACTTCGGTATGCTCTACCAAATACACAAAGACAGTAATAGCACTGATACTGTAAATTCAGTAGCTATTTTGAAACTTTCCCAGCCAATCTGTTTAATAAACACGCCTACTGTGCAATTTAGAGTATGTGATACATACAAAGCAGTTAGAAAATTATTTTCAATACATCACTTGAACCTTTATATTTACGACATGTTCACTTGCTATATTTTATCACCATTATACATAGAGGAAAACAGTGTGTACTATAGCTCAATGAACTGAGAAATATTTTCTAAAAATATTTTTGTGGCTGAATTGAGTGCTCACGAAAGGGCTTTGCGAGAGCGGCTGAGCCAGCACGGGAGTGCGGCTGCGCGGCGCGGGCCCCGCGCCGGCCTGCAGGGGGCGCGGCTGTCCGCTTACTGCCCGCCGGTCCTCCCACCCCGGCTTCCCCAACGGAGCAGAGGCTGCCGCTCGCACCAGCTCCCAAGGGGGTTGGGGTGTGTGGGCTTACAGGAGCTTCCGTCTCCCCTTTTTGTCCCTCTTGGTGACCCCAGGGTCCAAACCCAAGGCCAGCAGAGTGACCCTGGCCTACGCCACCCGGCTTTCTCGCCACGGCTGGGTTTCTGCTGTCTTTCCTAGATGTCAAGACACATGTTTACGGTCACGACTACATGAGACCCTTTCCTTCTCACAGTTTCCCCGAGCGTCTGATGTGATCTCTCGCCTCGGCCGTGAACTGGAGCTTCACGGAACGGTGAAAACCCTGTAGTTAAATTCTATCAACTCCCCATGGGCTTTTAGGGCTGAGGGAGGACAGCCGGAACACCTCCTGCCTGCTTCCCCCCACCCCCCCATGTCTTCCATTACATTTCACCAGCCTTAGGTTTCTACTGTGCCTCTTAGTTGACATTGGTAAGGACAGTGGCCTGATGGGAAAGAGAAGGAAGAGAAAGGAGCAGTTGTCTGGAGAGCCACCCACTGAGGATTGCACTGTCCTATCCAACTAGTGATAGGAAGCTGCACATTTTTCAACCTAATACAAAAATATTAACACTTCTGGACATTATAGGCATAAGTCGTTATATCTCTACAATATAATAATTTATACTGTACAGCTATAACAGATAACAAAAGGTGCAATCCTTTAAAAAAATCACACAGCTCACATGTTTTTATCATTTTATTTTTAAGTATAAACTTTTTAAACACTTTACATAAATTAACTCCTCTGAGACTAATATTTGATGTACAGTAAATTGTAATTCATATAAAAATCCATAAACAACTTGTCTCACATAATTTACAAAAAAGTCAGGGGTTCCTTTGCTTATCAGTGACAAGGATTGTATCTGCCAGTTTCTTCCCCCGCCCCGAGGCAAACCACGACAGCATCGGACAATGCAGTAGGAAATCCCGGGGGAGAAGTCTTGTGCCACTGTCCTGTTACAAAGCAGCACAGGGAAATCAGTTGGGTTGTCTATAAACTGTAATTTCACCCCACATTTCAAAATTAACAGAGATAGATCTATCACATCCTATGCAGAGACTACTTCTTCGTAAGCAAAGGTCGACAGTTCGGTAATATTTGGAAACACTGTAGGCATTTTTACCCTCGTTCAACACAGTGCCTCAAAGGAACGGATGGCCCGGGGTAAAATGATTAGGCCCTTTTTTTCCTTTCTTTTTATTATTACTTGTTCCTTTTATTAGTACCTTCAGTCCAACTGAGTGCAGCGATATGCATATGTAAACATATTCTTTAAAGCCGATCACCTTTAAGGTCATTCAGAAAAGGAGTTCAGTTTTTGTTTTTGTTTTTTTCGTGGATTTTCTTTCTAAAATAGCGGTATCATTCTCGCAGAAGGCTCTTCAGCGTCGGAGAGTCCCAGACGGATTGTGCTACAGACAAATCTGAGCAAAGGGGGTGGGTTCGGCTCGCGGGGCCCCCGCGGAGCCCTCCGTCCCTGTCCCCGCGGGGGCGGGGTTACCTCTTGCCGATCTCGCTCTGCCGCAGGAACTGGATGTTGTTGGCGCTGTCGGCCAGCTCGGGGTACTGCTCCACCGACAGCACGTAGTAGCCATCGTAGCCCTGCACCTTGCCCGCGCTCAGCAGCTGCCGCTTCTCGCCCTCAGTCCAGAGGCGCGCGCCCTCCTCGCCGTCGCGCACGCGCTGCTGCTCGCGCGCCCAGGCGCGGGCGAGCGCGCGCTGCCGCGCCTGCTCTAGGATGCGCGCCTTCTCCTCGTCCAGCGTCATGCCGTAGCGCACGTGCAGCGCCAGCGCGCCGAACTGCATCTCCACGTCGGCGAACCTGCGCGTCCTGCCGTTGACCACGGTCGTGGACTGCGACACGGTCACGTTGATGCCGTTCTCCAGGGCCTTGCGGCCGCTGGTCAGCCGCAGCGTGCCCAGGTCGCTCTCGGGCGTGCTGGTCTTGATGAAGTAGTGCGTGTCCTTGCCCTCGATGGTGAAGTGCAGGTTCTCCAGGTAGAAGGCGTTGTTGAGCACGGCCGCCACCTTGATGCAGTCCTCGTTGGCGATGTTGAGCACGTTGGTCTGCACGTGGCCCTGGCTGACGGCCAGCATGACGCCCTTGCCGATCAGTGACTTGACCGTGGCGAACCACAGCCACGACTGCGCGCCGCCGCCCTTGCGCCGGCTCACCTGGACCTCTGCCATCTTCCCCAGGGACAGGAAGGCCTTGGCCTGCCTCGCCACTTGTTGCTGAACTCCAAAAATGGGCTGGAAAGCGAAACAGAACAAGGGCGCGGTTTAGAGAACAGCTGTAACTCTCGGTTGCCGGGAGCCCGGCTTCCTGGCGGCGCTCCCACTCCTGACGCAGGGAGGGGACTGGGTGGAGAGCCCCGGGGCACTTACTAAAACCTCCATCAGTTCTTTAGAGATCAAAAGGCTGAGAAAACCCTGGGCGGAGAAATGCGCTCAAGATGCCCACCCCTCAAGCCTTTCCAAATGTGTTTTGAAACGTAAAATGAGGTAACTAACTCCATCACGTATTAGTGCAGAGCTTTTTGGTTTCTAGCGTGGGCACAATACTTATGCTTCTGCCCTTTTCCCGCGTCTGTCCCATTTGGGGAACCCAGCTCATCGGGTCCCTCGCCCCGGCAGCTTTCTGTACTGGGGGCTGAGGAGAAAGCAGCAAAGCCAGGGTGGGAAAGGCTGGGCGCTCTGGGCAGGAGCACTGCGTCCCGCCTTACGTGCGTCGGAGTGCTAGTTCTTAATTTAGGTAAACTCTGTACCCTCTCCTGGTGAACACAGGCTCAGTCGAATTTCGCCAGTAGAACTGCAGAGCTGAAATGAACAAGGATGAGGGCGCGGTGGGACAGCTGGAGATTGCATTTCTTAAAATACTTTGGGAAAACATTAATTTTTTTGGAGACTAAGGGACAGTGCACCGTCTACGCTGGCAAATGGTTTAAATTGGGGGCATCTTAACTCAGCCATTTTCTTATACTACCAGATGTTTGTCTGGCCAGCGTTTTCCAAATGGAAACATCTGCTTCATTTGCAGCAGTGAAAGAAACATTTGTTTTCCTGAACTTGGGGCGGCCTCAGTGTCTTTGCCAGCGATTCCCTAGGCTGTCCTTATGGTGCGTGTCTCTCGACAGAGAACCTGAACCATATTTCAAAGGCTGCCTAGGAAAGAAGTTGGCAGTTCCATTTGTACAGTATGACTTAAATGTTTTCAGACATGTTGGAAAGCCATACACAATTAGGATGGGCTTGTTCAAATGCATCAGGAAACTTCGGTATGCCTTCATGGCACGATATTAGTATAGGTAATATTTGCAATCAGAAATGTTAAAATGGCTCCCAGACCTTGGGAGCGGATGGGTTTTGCTTTTTAAATGTAAAGATGACATCTGAAAAAAGACCTGCTTTTATGTTCTGAAACATGTACCACAAAACGGATGTATTGACACTGTGTATTCACTGTGTGTTTTAGACCTGGTTGCTTTTTCTCTTTATATTCATTGAAATTATAGGCAGTTGCTCAAGGGGAGGGGGAATTAATCTTTCTAGAAACTCTGCATTCTTCGTCTTATCATCATGGAGTAACCCAATTTCTTGATCTTTAATTATTCTTGCTTAAAGCTAGAAATTCTGGTGTTTTGTTGTGCATTCCTTTCTGATCTTTAAATGGTGGGAATTAAAAGTACCGTTTTCTGAAATGGCAGCTTTGACTTTGCAATTCTCCATTCTTTTTCTCTCTTATTTCTCAGAACAGTGACAGGCCTCCTGATCTGTTATTTTCAGGAAAATTCCATAAGCACTTCGTTGTAGGGGGAGCCTTACATTTTATTTTTAATTGTCTCCCATGAAACGCTGTTAATGTTTTGGAAAAAAGGTGAGCTTTGTGGCATTGTTTGTGGGCTGCTAATTTGGAATATGCATCCCCTGCCTTCCTGTTTATTGTATCTTTGCATTTAGGTCTCCAGGGCCAAAAATGTGGTTTGAGGGGGTTCTTTGTAGAAACCTTGGGGGGGGAAAAAGAGCTTCTACATTTTATTACTGTTGATAATGCCTTTCTATGTTTTTATTTGCATCACTAAAAACAGGTTCAAGCCTGTTTCATTGGCCCCTAGTTTGCTGAACAGAAGTGCAGAGAGAAGTGTTGTTTTTCTCCCCGAAACGAGTCCAAAAATTAAAAACTGTCTCTGGTACAGTTTGCACAAGGGTAGTTTGATTAAATATGGGTAAACAAGGCACAAGTAAGCCATTTATCACCTTTTCCTAGTTTCGCTTTTGGTCTCTTACCGGTATATCATCCCACTGCTGACTCTTCACAAGTTCGTAAGAAGGTTCTGTTAGATCGAATTTGGGAACCGGGAATCCAGGAATAGCATTGTGCAGATGGAAGCCAAATGTCACCAGCCAGCTGTTAACATCTAGGAGAAGAATGTTCCAAATGAGAGGCATTAGAGATATTCTGTGCATTCATAAATTTAAATTCTTACCTTAAAGAGAACCCGAATTCACAAATAAGAACCAGAAAAAGGGCGCACGTTTGCCTTGACAACTCAAAACCTACTCTCCAGTTCTAGACGTGAGGACAATAACCTCAATAGCAGCACTACGGCAGGGGCTACGGAGAAGGTACAGTAAAGGACACTCACGCAGACGGACCCAACAAACCGTCAGGAGCGCCCTGTCGCATCCCGCGCGAGTGGAAGTGATGGAGAAAGGCACTAACAATGCACAGCGGCAGGAAAGCGCCACGGTGGGTGAAAGCCAATGAAATTTGTTTTGTGGTTAGTAAAAACTAGTCTTAAAAAGAAGTTGTGCATTACTGTCTTTCAAAAGTGGCTGCCCAAGGATATACAGAGTTCCACAACCCATTTTCTCTGAATACAAACCCCAAATTGAGAGAATTAAAATCAACAGTAGGTGCTCAATCAAAGATGGATGCTGAGCGCTGGCAAAGCGGCCCCGGGCATGGAATTTCTGATTATCATTAGTTATGACTTCAAAGACTCCCTGTGCACAGGTGGAAGGAAACAAACTTTTTGGGGAGAAAACCTAGAAACCTTTAAAATGGTATTTTAACATATTGCCATGTGACTCCAAAAGCCATTAAGCTCAGAATAAGGCTTTTATTCTCTTCTGGAGGTTATAATGTTACAGAACTGCTCAGCAGGCTTGCAGCTTTATGAGTGCAGTTGGGTGTAGATTATTTTATATATTAAGCACATTGCTGGAAAATTTGAAATTGCATTTCACCTAATATATTTTATGCTGTTCCATCTCCCTTTTGATGTTTTTCAGAAAATGCTGCTACGGCGTTCCCTGCAGTCCACGTTGCTAGGAGAGGAGGAATTCAGGAGCCGTGGGCTTTCCCGCCTTCCAGTCAGCCCCTGTCAACACCTCTTAAATAACCAGTGTTTAACCGCTTGTCAGAATGATGGAGAGCCACTTGTTTCCTATTTCCTTCTTTAGGGCGCAGACTCTCACCTCATTGCCAGGCTGGCAGGTCCTTTGTGCAGGCATCATGCGGCTCTAAAATCGGCGGTGCTCTTTCAAATGGGGGTGATGGTGGCGGGGAGAGAAAAAGCCCACGTTCATCATGTAGGACAGAAAGGGGTGTCTGTCTGTCTGTCTTGTGTTGGGAGAAAATGCTTATGATTGCTGGAGTATTGGGAGCAAGGGTTGTCCCGCTATAAACAATGTCTGTGTAACAGTGAAAATGGAAGGGTCTTAAGTATTGAAAAGCATCGCCAAAATACTGGGACTTGAACGCAGGTTTGTGCAGGCAAACCGCGAAGGCGAGTGTCGCGGGGGGTGCTGCTGTCCTGGGGGACTGCGGGGCGGGACCCGCAGCCGGCTCGCATGGGGCAGAGGCATGGGAAGCTGCCGGAGGTCTGGAGAAGCAGGAGGCGCATGTGGGATGAACAGGGGGCAGCGTGTTGAGAGATGTATGGGGATCTGAGAAAACAGACACCTCAGTGGACCTCAAATACTGAGCAAGAAAAGAGACTGCCTGAAGGAGCAAACACAAAACAGAAAAAGCCACAAACTTGAAAAACAAACAAACAAAAAAGACAACAGGAAAGACCCTTCCTCCAGGAAACATAAATGCAGGAAGGAGGTTAACTGGGGCCGTGTAGTTCCGGAAGGAAAGGTGGATGCAGGCGGACTCAGAGTCCTTGGCGCGGAGGATGAGCGGGGAAGTCAGCTACCTAAGGGAACCAGGGTACTGCTTGCTGGGACCTTGCCCCTGTTTCACATCCCAGTTGGTCCTTGGTGGCAGAAGTGGGATCTGATCTTTTAAGTTGAATCATGCACTAAACTTGGAAGGATCTTAAATCTACATCCTGAGATCACCCCATATTGGCTGGAAAATTAACAGTGTGTCTGTTAGTAGTGCCAGCACTGCACTACGTGGCAAGGAAGACAGCGGAAGACAGTAGAGGACAGAAGTTAGGACAGAAACAGTGCACGTGACGAAGCGACTAACGAGAGAGACTGTTCCCGTGGTCGTCCTGGGGTGATGGGGGTGAAGAGAGTTAAACACCTCCCAGGTGAGACAGGGAGCCACACTGTGTTGTATTTCGCGTTGCTTCCTTCCATCGGAATTAATGTGACTTGTCTACAAAGCCACACAACTTGTAGGAGAAGAGATGGGACTGGAACTCCAATGTGGGGACTCCCAAATTTGGTATGTTTTCTGCACCTTCCATGTCACTTTCCTTCAGTGCCTGGATTCCCTGTCATTTCAGAAAATGCGGCCTTGGGCATTGGCAAGCCGAACAGGAAATAACAAACTATGTCTGTTTTTCTTTTTTTGGTTTCTCTATGGTTCCATAGAGAAATACATTTAAGAAGTTAGGCATTTGCTTTTGCATGAGTAAAGTTAAAGAAAGCAACTCCAATTATTTTGGGTATTAATCTAAGGATTAAAGTACTTCAGGACCTGGAAAGGAAATAAAATCATGCTTACCTGTGATGTAGTCCTTCACATCATGGATTTTGCTTGCAGGGTTGTTATTCCTGAACATATACAGGTTAAAAGGAGCTGGGTCCTTCCCAATTCTCCTCCAGATTTCTATGTCAGGTGTTGTCCACCGTCCCGCCAAAATGTCATAATCTCTCTCTCCAAAGTGGATTAATTTTGTGAGTGGGTCATAGAGGCCACCATGAAATCCGATTACCAGCTGGAAGTCAATATTGGAGTCAAAATAGATTTCGCCATACGCGGTGTACTGGATCTGTTTTAGCATAAGCCCATTGCTGCTGAAGACAGCCAGAGGTGTTCCTGTGTTGTCTGACGCGATGTAGAATTCATCCCCGCTGCTGATTTCCATGGCAAAAAGGTGTCCCTGGAGATCATAATAGAGGGAGGTAATTTCTGAACTCGAGTGGTTGTAGACATGAGTAATCCTAGTGGGGTAAGTCAAGTCCGCATAAAAAAACTGCAGGTGCTGGCCCAGGCTGGTCTTGCTGGAAACGCGCCTTCCCAGGCCGTCGTAACGATAGATCACCGTCCAGCCACTGCCTTTGCTGTAAACTCGAGTGAGAAGCCCCTTGGAGCTATACTCAAAGATCTCTGTGCCTCTTTGACGCAGGAAACCATCCTCGTCCAGCCGATACTGAACATCACCCAGCCGAGTGATTCTGTCTCGCAGGTCGTAGCGAAGCGGGGTCAGACGTGCACTGTTACTCGGGTTCAGTAAATGGAGGTTCCCATTCAGATCATAGTTGTAACGCCACATGATCTTTTCATTTAGATAAACTGTTTGGAGCTGGCCATCCACGTCATATTCATAGGCGTATTTGGTAGTGTTGGCAAAGGGCCCTATTTTAATCTCTCTCTTGGTCACCCGACCCATGTTGTCGTATTGAATTGTAATCCAGTACATGAGTGACCGGAAGATCTCGTACTGAATTTCCTTGATGCGGCCGTGAGCGTCGAAGTGCTTCGTGTAGGTCATGACCGCTGTGGAAATGATCTGGTTAATATCATAATAGATGACTCCAAATTTTCCAAACTGCTCGACTTTGCCAGAAATGTCATCAAACTGATAGAGATCGATGGGCAGTGGTGTTTCATTGATGACACCCTGCATGCTGGTCACTCGAAAGCTGTTGTCATAGCTGTAGTCAAATCTCGCATTTACCATCCCATCTTCACTGAAGCGGAAAATCTGTCTGTCAATCAGGGGGCCAATCTGCCTGTACCTAATGGTGCAAATAAAGCCATCGCTCTGGAGGTTGACTGTTTTCAGGACGCCTGCTGTTTCATCATAGGTAAAGCTGACTCTGGTGCTGTCGTATAAAATCTCCGAGAGCCTGGTCTGCCTTCTGTACTTGAACAAGACCCTCCGACTTGTGCCCAGGAAAGCCGTTTGCAGAAGCAGCCCCTCCTCATTGTAGTCGGTGATGACGGAGGCGTTGCTTTCCGGGGGGTTGTATATGTTGCGGTAGTAGCCGATGGATCGGATGGTCTGCATGGTGTGGCGGGCCACGCTGGGCATGGTGATGGCCGACAGCCGGTCCCACATGTCGTATTCGAAGATGTACTGCCTCTGGCTGTGAAGCAGAAGAACCATGGACTGCAACGAGAGAGCACACTGTTAGCCACGGTCTGTGCCCGGGGAGGCAAGAGCAGGTTTACTGACCACGAAGACGCGGAGGCATTCCGCTCGAGAAAATGATTTTCATTTTAATTGAGTCATCCTTGACCTTACATGTTGTTAACGATACCCTGCCTAATTTGCTTGGATGCTTAACTGTGAGGGGTTCTACAATGAGTGGCTCGAGATGCATAATGTGCTGCTTGTTGGGGCCGTCCCATCCGTTTGCAGGCACCCACAGCCAGGCGGCAGAGCGTCCAGGGGGACGGACAAGCCCGGACGCAGGCGCGGGCACAGCGGCTTCAAAGACGGCATTTCAAGGGGGAAAGCAGCCTATGGGAAATGCAATGCTGCCCACAAAGAGCAATTATTTAGTAAGGTGGCTTTGCCCCCTCATTTGATGGAAGAGCCATTCAGACCATGTTTTAATTTCCAGTGGATTTGGGGGAGGAGCAGAGCATTCAAAGTACTATTTTATGAAGAGACATAGAATTAGCCCCAAAGGGATAATGTGTACATTAAGCATCAATGTCAACAAACATTGTTAAATTAATCCCACCGTGAGTGAGAGCTATAAATGCCCTTAATAGAAATATGAACCCGGATGTGTTTTTTTTGGCAAAATCTTTTAAAAGACTTCATTTTTAGAGAGGGGAGAGTGAGGGGAAAAGAGAGAAAGACTGACATGACAGAGAAACATTGATTGGTTGCCTCTCGTATGCACCCTGAGTGGGGACTGAACCTGCAACCCAGGCATGTGCCCTGACTGGGAATCGAACCGGCAACCTTTCGCTTGACTGGATGCTGCCCAACCAATTGAGCCACACTGGTCAGGGATGTTTGCAAATTCTTGGGTGGCATCTATGATGACAACGAAACCCACAGTTTGAAATTTCCTTCTGTGAGTGCCAAACCTGCTCTGTACCCCAGGTGCTGTAAAAATGGTTTCTGGGCTATACACTGCTTTGGTGCTAAATTATGAAGCAAATAAATATATAAACAAACATTAGCTTTGCTTATTTAGCAGGTAATTGCAGGTACCTTCGCAGGTATCTGCAAAGTTGCTTCCTGCTTATTACCTGCAAAATAAGCAGGAAGACAAAAGACATGCATTTATGAGGCCCAGATGAGCTGGTTGGTTAAGGAAGCTCAAGAGTTACACAGAGCGCAGGTGATCTTCCTTCAAGGAAGCCTCCCGCACCAGTCCCCCCGCCCCCCCGCCCCCCCGCCCCCCACCCCCGCCCCCGCCGTTAGACTACGTGGAAAGACCGCGGAACCGGAGGACGTTCGGGTCGGCAGCTCTCCGGGGACTTCTGCTTTGCTTGTGACACTGAAATGTCCAAGGCGCGTGCTTTTTCTCTTCTCTGCCCACCGTCTTCCCAGGCAGCCTGCGTGCCCCGCCCCGGCAGCGGCTCCCCCGTGGGCACGCCTAGGGTGGGCTCTGCGGCAGGCAGGCTGAACGGTGGGCGGCCCACGCGCGTTTCCTATCGTTTCCGCTCTGCCAGCGGGGCTCGCCCTAGTGCTGAATTCACAGGGATCGGTAGGCACTTTTACAATCATTTAAAATCCCATCTGACGGTAGGTAGACAGTACTTGTTGTGCTATGAAGAAGTTTTGGCTTAGCGTGCCTAATCTGGCAAGGAAATGGAGGTAGTGCAGGTGGATTTTAGGGATTTTGGAGACATGATGAGTAAGTACTTACTGGCTTTTCTGACCCCCCATGGGTGCATGAAGGTGACGTGCTCCTTGCTGCCTTTAAACATTTTTCAGTCACATTATGATCACTACTCTCAATGTTTGGGGTCTGGAGAGAGACGTTCCTGGGACTCTTCTCTATCACGATTTAAGCTGGGAAAGGTGTTCCTGGAAGGAAGCAACGGTCCCCTCCCAGTCTCTCCAGGGAGATGTTGTCTTGGGGCTGGGTAGGTCTGAGGGGGAACGACTTTCTAGGTGTCGGGGCTCGTTCCCAGGAAGATACATGCGCAGGGGACTCCCTTGCAGTCTCTCAACTAATGACTAGTCGAGCGGCCAACCGTACAGCGGGCCGGTCAGCCGGGCCGGCAGCTGTCCTCACACAGGCGCAGCCTGTGGTCTCGGGGCTGAGTGTCCTCCAGGGAGCGCGCATCGGGGGGTTTGCCAGAGGAGAGCCTGCAAGTGGGGTCCTCACTGGTGGCCCCCCGAGTTGGGGAGGTCGCTGCCTGAAGACAGCAGCCCCTGGCCGTGAGCCGTAGAGCCGACCCCGGGTCTCAGGGAGCCCAGGATGAGGCAGGACGCCCCGGGCGGCGGGGAGGCCGAGGCGGCGGGGCGGCGGGGCGGCCTGGACTGCACGAGGCTGGCAGAAGCGACTGTGTGTGCAGCAAGCAGGCGCGAAGGCGGCGACTGTCCGGAGCCGAGGGGTCACGCAGGCTGCCGTCATGGTGGCGAGTGCTCTGAGGTGGCACCACTCGAAACCAAATCATTCCCCAGGGCTCAGGTTCAGGTCAAAGGCCAACGAAGGATCCCAGGAGCGTGCTCTTTGGTGGCTCACATTTCTTAAGAAAGGAATTACAGGGAGGCAGCCCTTTCCCTCGCCTCCCTTTTACCTTTGTTCCCTCTGCGCCCCGGTCACGACCCCAAACCACGCAGTGCATGAGTGAGCATTTGGCCCGTGTGGACCTTGAAGGCTGCTTTGGTGTTTGTTCACAGTTCGTAAGGAAGCGGGGAAGAAGAGCCCACGCTAGGATGCTTGCCTTCGCTATGTGGAAGAAAGGACAGATGCCACAGAGTTCTTGAAGCCTGGCTTTCTAAAAAGTAGCCTCTGTTGGTTAGTACCGCATACACAGGACCGACACGCTTTGCACGGTCATGCTGAAGCCCCGCCGGCAACAACACAAACCTGTCAGCTTTCACCGTGCTGACACGAGGCCCCTCAATGCAAGACCTGCCGCGGAGATGATTTACAAATGACTTACACGGCCCGGGCCTCATTTGTGAATGTGGTCAGTGGCGAAGCGTGGCAGGTGGACAGTGTTATTGCTTGTTTGTTTACAGCATAAATCACTTACAAGGGTCTCAGAGAGTAGACCTTAACTAAGGAGAAAGTACTTTGCTAATGCAGAAATTCATCACTGCTGTATGAATGTGACTCACCTGTCGATACTTAGAATAATAAATGGAACTCAGTCCCATGTCACGTTTCCACCCCCCTGCTGTCGTGCTCTGGGAGATTGCTGAAAAATACCCGTCATTGCCTCTCTATTTGTGCTGTGAGTGTGCCAACATACCTTTTCTAAGTACGTGTAACTCCACGTTTTACCGTCAGCAAAGACCCTCGACACAATCCTCCCCTGGCCGTCGTAGTCTACTTTCTCGCTGGTCGTCCCTCGCTGGATGCTGGCGATTTGACCCGTGGATGAGTAGGTGACGTTGACGGCCATCAGCTTGCTGCTCGGCAGCCAGAGAGTCGGGTGCCCTGACGTGTCGTAGGCGATCCTCAGCAGAAATTTACGGTGGTCATCGTAGATCTTTTCTGTCTTTGTAGTTCGATCAAAGTCAACGGAAAGGAGGTTTCTGCCATTAACCTGTTAGAACACAAACAAGGTGATGAAATAAATCATGCTAATCCAGTACCAGTCCCTTATTACCCTTCAGAGTCCCCACTATTGTTTAAACACCATTTATGGTGATTGATTCTCTATGTCAGTAAATTAATTTAGCAACTTCTTGGGTACAAGTGCAAGGCAGTAGATTAACTGCTCTTTTAAAAGGTTTCATTAAGCAGAAAGACAGCCTGGCATTTGTTCAAAACCTTTTCAATTACATTTTGTAAACTTGAGCAAGTGATAAGAAAAAGGCCAAAATAGATTTGCTTTAAAGTTTGTTAAGAAGATACAAAGGTGGGAAACAGGACATCTCTGTAAATTGCTCCAAGCCCCGCCCCCTGCGAGCCCTGGAAAATGATCGCCCGGTTGATTAATCCCGGCGATATTAAATAAAGCGGTGGTAAGTGTGACTGTAGCCCTTTGTAGAGCAGTTAAGTATAAGCTGGAACCCCCATTACGGTCAATTATTAATGAGCTGAAATAGCAGGAGGTTACAAACACGATCATTGCTTTTGGCCAAATGCTGAAATGTCACAACTTTTTTGAATGCCTTTTTTCTCGGGTAACATCTGGGTAACTGGCAGGGACTTCAGATCCTCTACTCGCACGTCTGCGCAGTCTGACTCTTGGATTCAATCACAAATGTGGCACCGCGTTGTTGTGATAGGGCCTCTGCGTGGCTCTGTGCCACGTTCCGAGTCTTCGACCACATTCCGTGGTTACCGTCTGTGACCCGAGGCGCATGCAAACCAGCATGTGTCGCTGCGGCAGGCAGGTGGCTTTGGTTAAGTTCCCCGTTACAATGGCCCCCAGTGTTCGCAGACTGGGGACCCCCTCGAAGGGAGGCCAGCACCTCCATTCTCTGGTCTTCTACAGCACCTGTGTGGCGGTGGTGGCTTGTAAGTAACAACATCTTATTAACTGTTGGGTTCGTTAAAAATTGAGTGGGAAAATCTTAATTTCACATGACCATGTCCTGGCTAGAACCTTCAAAATGGACAGCATCAGCTGACCAGTTATACGCATCCACCCACATCCTATTTACATAGATACAGGGCAGGGACAGAAGTACATTTACAATTGTGAGTATGCAAAACAGTGTATTCTTGTATTATTAGTTATTAATTATTGTGTTATTTTCCAGACAAAAAACTGTAAACCTACTCTTGCTCCACTCTGTGTATTTGTAAATACATGTGTATGTACATATATAATGTACCCATACTTATGCAAAACGTGGGATAAAACTAATTTATGCAGTCTGTCATCGACATTAAATAAGTCCCATGAAAAAATATTCCTTAAACTTTTCGGATTAGTTGTTCAAGGGGAGTACTGTGAAGTCCATGGAAAGGCAATGGTAAGAGCTCAAAAAGGAATTCACACCTTAGAGGCGAAGCGATTGGTGGGAAAAAAAGGCACCCAGAGAGAAGAGTCACAGAAAACGAGAAAGCAGAGCCCTGGATGCGAGTGAGCAGGTCTCAAGGTTTCAGTCCTATTATTTAAGCTCCACCTGATGTGGAAGAAGAGACAAAACCGCTGCGGCACAGCAGCAGCGGGGCGCCCTGGCCTGGGGCGTGTGCGGGTGTGCCGGCGTGGGCGCGTGCGTGCTGGGGAGGCGCCCGGGGGCTCCCATACCCGACCGGCCTGGCAGCGCGCAGCGTGGCTTTGGGCCTTTAGCCTGCCTGAGTCTGTTGTGTCCATCTGTAAAGGGGGCGGTCCCGCCAGAGTGTGCAGGCTCTTTTGCTGACATTGATACGATTCGGCCTGGCCGGCTGAAGGCTTCCAGGCTTCCCACGCGGGAACGCCTGCAGACTGGTTGCGCCCTGTCTGATGTGAGTTCTGTGAACTTTTATAGGAGTTTAGGTCTGCAGAACACTTTGTGTATCTTGGAAAGAAGCGACTAGCTAATGTTACAAATATACATTTGAAAGTTGGTAGAAAGATTGGATTTGATATCAAATTAACTCAATACTCAACTGGCAGAACCCGGCTCTTCAGCTCGTATTTGAACATTTTTGATGCCTTAAGAAGAGGTTTTGCACAATTTAAATAGTTTCCCAGGGCTCTTGTGTTTCTCAGATTGCAATCGAAAAGGAGAAAAAAAAATCCCTGAATGTTTAGCTTTGCCCCTTTTTCCTTCCTTAGGCTCTTCCAGGCTGCGAACAGCCCCACACACTCTGCTAACCAGAGCCTTGCCCATCTGTTCCTCTTCTGCTTTGCGTTCATTTTCATTTGTATCTCAATTCTTGATTGACTTCCTTAGCTCCCCTTTATCTTTGCACTATTTCCTGTGGCTCGAGCATAGGAAATCTGGACTGCAGATCTGGTCGGACGGTTCCTGGCGGGGGAGGGCAAAGAGACAGATGGGCACCCCCTCCTCTCACCGCCTGTGCCCTGGGGCTGGGCCCTGGATGCGTGTTTTGGGGTGGGAGTGTGGCTACATGGCACCCGCGCCTCCTGGGGGGAATCAATGGCGTCCGCCATGCCGCACATGGGCGAGAACTCACACCTGGAGACGCTGAATTTTTCGTGCATCCAGAAGAAGGCTGTGTGCAATGCCTTTCCTGTCTCCTCCAACCGCAGGATGAGGGAAGCATTGGAACATGGCCGCGCTCTTCCCGCCTTCCCGTCCAAAGCCACGGTTTTCACTGTCCTCCCTTTACCAGTCACCAGCCACTGTGGTTCAGTGCGTAAAATTTCAAAAGATACTAAAAAACCTTTTCCCTCCCATTCCTCTCAAACGTGCCCAAACTATCTCCTCTGGGTTGTAAACAAAGTGCCGAAGTCAAGGGACATTTCCATTCTAGGACATAGTCCCTCCTAATTATACCTTTATGAAATGAAGGCCACTTGGCTTTCTTCGTGGATTTTTTTTTTTTTTTTTTTTTTTGGACAATCACAAAGCGCCAGCATTGTTCCATGCCCCAGTGGCCTTATAATACATATTTTTAATATAAAATATCAAGTTAGGTGGAATAGTTCACCTGAGATAAAAACAAACAAACAAAAACCCTGCCATTAGATCATTACGATACCTCCAGCTACATACAAATGAATCCAAATGTTGGGTCTGGATAAGAGATCACCAGGAATTCCTTTGTGATGTACAGCGTTTCTTCTAAGGGAGCAGGGGAAATCCCCGTTTTCGAAGATCACGTGTGGCACGACTGTAATTAATCACAATGTGCCTTTGATACTGGGAGGGGGGCCGCCATTTGCCCCCGGAATGCAGGAACAATGAAGGCATGAAGACGTGAAAACAGCGGCTTGAGGTTTAAAGACACAAAGCACAATTGGATTACATCCATGTACCCGCATGTTGCGGGGGGGAAGTGAGGAAGGGCCGGCTCGTTCCCCGGCACACTCGGTGGCAGTACCTCACCGCCCTCGAGTCCCTGTGAGAACATCAGCGGGCTGCAGGCTGCTTTGTGTCTCTCCACACGTCAGCGAGTGCTAACTGCTCTGTATGGTCCCACTCTAGGCTGTGCCCCTCCGATTAAAGTGAGAAACAGGGTATCACACCGATGTGCCTGGCGTAAGAAGGGTGAAACATGCTATCATGTGGATGTATGTCTTTAAACACATTTTGAGCTTGCAAATTTTGAGGATTCCTTTGTAAAATAATTGACTAAATTTTTTTTTTTTCCTTTAAGCATCTGAATTCTGGGCAAGTTTAGAAGATGAGTTTTATTACTGGAGGGCCACACATTTTTTTTTTTTTTAACTGATGAAAGGCTGCCTCCAAAGTCCACGTCTGACAAAAATTAGGGCGTTTTCTCACCATTGTAAGGCAAGGAATAGCCATTATTATGTACCTGTCTTTTTAAAACAAATTCAGCTGCAAACAAGAAAGCGGCGGAGCCGTCTAAGCTCCACCCTGCTTCGCCCCCCACCTCTCTGTCCCACTTCCATTCCTGGTCATTTCCCAGCGCATCTACCCCTCCCCTTCAGTGCATCATTCCACAGAAAATGCTTTCATGTTGCTCCTGTCGTACCTCGTTTTTCCTTTTCTCATCCTTGCCTTTTTTAACCATCAGAAACTACTAGCTCTAGTGTTATACCTATTATGTCTATGAAATCCCCTATCGAGTGGTAGGTGGGTTTATAGCGGCCCAACGTTTGCACTGCAGAGAGCACCCCCGTCAGGAAGACCTAGCTGCAGTGAAATCAAAGACCCAGATTATAAGCTTGGCTTTTCCTCAGTCTTCCATTCACCAAATAAATATTTGAGTGCCCAGCCTGGGTCAAGCACGTAGCTAAACTGAGGACAGTACCTTAAAAATGAAACGACCTTCCCGCTAGGAAATAACAGAAGGTACGAGAGAGGTGTTCCCTGGGTGGCGCTTCGGCTATCCAGGTGCCGCGGTGGCCTGCGGTGGCCTCCCGTGTCCCTCCCGTGTCCCTCCCCTCCCCTGTCCCTGCTCTTCTCCTGGTTGGCAGACTCCAGGGCCGGTCCCGAGACCAGGTTTTCCTGTCATCGCTTTCTCCTTAGAATTTCTCTCGCAGAATCCACCGAGGAATGAAATTAGCAGTCGGAGCTGGCACATCCAATCTTATCTCGAAAGTAAGAAACCCTCCCTCGCGATCCCGGTGTTGTCTCCACGAGAGCAATCGCACACATCAGCCAGAGCTCTCCCGCCTGCACGGCGCACGCCGTTTCCAACGGTGTGTCTTCCGAGACGTGGCGCTGCGGCATCGTGGGGCTGCTCCTTAGAAGGAAACTAACACCACCCCGCCTGTGCGCTGGTCTCTCCCTCCCCAAAGTGAGGGATTTTCCTCCTTTAGAATCAGACAGAGAGCCGGTGACTTAAGGTTGAATGTTCCCTCTTTTCCTCAGCTCCTCCTAATTTTTTTTTTGTCTAAAGAAGCCGTGTTATTTTAAAACACACTAAGACATAGGTCGTCACAAAGAACAGTGGGCAACATAGTGCATTGCGAGTTTCTGGGCAAGGTATCGCCCTCCTTTTCCCTCTTGGGGCGTTTCCCTAACCAGCGACCACAACAGCCCCTTCCCGCCCCCTGCTGTGTGGCTCTAAGTGCCCCCCTCTGCCTACGGGGTTGAGACTCTCTGGGTCGGGGTTAGGGACACACCACCGGGCCCTGGGTTTTTGGGGCACTCACACGTTGCTGCCCACGATTCTGTAACAACGGTGGGAAACAAAGGCAGAGTACGGCACATTTTACTTATGCACGAAACAGCACTGTCTCTGTCCTGGCTGTATCATCAGATAGTGCCTAAATAATACACTGTTTAGACCACGATATAGCTGTCATGACATAGATAAGGAGAACGAGGTTTACAGATGTCCTGATTTTCCCAGGTTTATTATTAATAAAAAAATGGAGCCCGATCTAGAACCCACAGTTTTCGAGTTCCCATTGAGGGCTGTGTCTTTGGGGTGCAGGCGGAGGCAGGGGTGCAGGGTATAGGCAGCTGTCTAGCCCTGGGGTCAGCAGCAGAAAATGCAGCAGCTGGAGCTGTGACCACAGTCCGGGACCCTGGCAAAGTGACCTGCAGCAAGGCTAAGCCTGCTTTCCTGCCCGTCGCTCGACCTTCACCCCAGTTCCGTTCTTCCCTCTACTGCTCTCCTGCTTTTTCTTCTCCTCTCACTGACCCGGCCCCCCGCCGCCCCCACCCCCCGCCGCCCCGGCCTTCCCAGCTCCTGCCTGCCAGGACCCCCGACCCCGGGGGCTGGGCCTCGGGTGCCCAGCCTGCACAGCCTGGGGTATGGGTGGCGTGGGGGCATACGGCACTGGTTCCGGACAGCCATGTAGTCAGAGCTCCACCCACCTGCCTTGCAATTGAGGTGGAATCAGCATATAACCTCTAAACTGCATAAAGTATGTATTTGATCCATTGATTCTTGTTCACTTCATTTCCCTTTCTTGGAAATAGTCAGAGACAGTTATGTAGTAGCTGTTTTTTTTAACCCTGCAGCTTTGTCAAGGTAAAACTGTTGGACTATTATAATAACCATTGAACCATTTTGGGTGCAAAAACAAACAAACAAACAAACGGCATTAATGGTGTGCTCCATATTTTGTTCTCTCTCCTTGAGTTTAGGGACTGTGGTTTAATGGCAAGGAAAATAATTTTGGGAGTGCTTATCTATAGTTAGCGGATAAACTAAAGTCTGCTTAATACTAGAAAGAATGAATCAGGTTCAGTTTCTAGTGGTCTGAAGGTGGTTTTCTTGTCACCTGTGTTTTAGTACTTAATCCGTGTTGTTTTAGATTAAGTACTAAATATGTATCATAAATCACAGCACGCTTCTGAGATATATTTGGCCCACAGTGTGAAATGGAGGAAACAAACACCTAACAAAGTAACACCGGGAGCACTTCACAAAGACAAAGTACACCAGCGTAATCAGAAACATTGTTGCCTTTCTCCGAAAAATAACATAGATCAATAGCGAGGGGGCGGCAGTAGGTTCTGACGTGGATACTCTTCTTTGTGCCCAAACTGTACTTAAAAAATACTGGGAGCACAAAGAAATAATCCACCTCCCAATGGCCAGCCCGTCTCTTTCAATATACATCTTTATGATTTGGGAACTTTCAACATGTAAGCCGACCCTAATTACCGCCATCCCCACATTAGGAAGCCATCAACCCGAGCGAGACAAGGAAAAGTGTGAGATTTTAAAGATAACATTAATAAGATAAGAATCAACTGATTTCCAGGCTATCTGAGATTGGGCCACATGCAATTTCCTAATTTCCCAGGGAAGAATGATTTTCAATCATCAACACATTGAGGAAGCCCCCCTCTGAAATAATGGCTTTTATTATGAAGGCTCTGATGGCTTGATTGTTGGCCAGACGTCACGACGGGAGGCGAGGCGCTGCGTGGAGGGCGCACCGGACAGATGAGGGTGGGCAGGAGGTGAGCCCCAGGTCCACCCTCACGGAGAGTCGCCTACGTGACACCGGATGGCAGCCGTTCCCTGCTCCCCGACACACGCTTACCCTGAGCTTTCGACCAAAGACGTTGACTTTTCCTTGGGCTTGCTCTTTCCGGAATCTCCATTCCACCAGATTTTGACCGTTCTCACCAGGAAGCGTCATGTTCCTTTTGGCGACGGTCGGGTTGGCCGTGCCCGCCAGCACGTGGGGCTCTGTCTGGTAGTGGGAGTCGAGGCCGCTGGCGTAGATGATCCGCAGGGAGCCGTCGTAGCCGATCTGGTAGCTGTTTCTCAGCTGATCTGCGGAACGAGCAGAGAACGTGAACTATCGATGTGGACTGAACTCTCAGGTGGCGACGCAGTTGGAAGTGATATGAATTTCTAGAATGCCGACTGAACTCCGTTTATAAGAGAATAAAACATGCTTAATGACGTCCTCTCAGAAAATAATAAAACAACTCTGATTTCCGGCGTTTTATGCCGCAGCAGGTTGGGCTGACTGGTAGAGGAAAACTTTAGGGGAATTTAGAACCCTTCTGCATTCTAGTAGATTTCTTTTTCTCATTTGCCTGATGAGAGAAATGAAGGCCCGACTTCTAGGGAGAAGGCAGTAGGTGTCCTGCAAAGAGCCAGGCAGGCGCCCTTCTGGGGGCCGGTCTGTCACTGCGATGTCTAGAAGACTGGCCCCGCCCCCATCCTTGTATCTTTTACCAAAGAACTTTTGAAAGGACTTAATATCTATACCTCATAGACCAAAACTATGAGGTGACATCCCTCCTGAAATTGGCTTTAAAAACAAAAAGAGAAGCATCTTATATTTGTACAAAACCCCCACTTTCATAGTGTAGTCTACTGCGTCCGCTCACAGCGCGTGCATAACAGAGGGCCACTGGGAGGGTAACTGAGGTCGAGCAATACTAATTGTAGGCGATAGCGGCGATGACCTGACAACATTTAAAATAAAAGTGATTCAAAGAAGTTTAACTCAGATTTTGCAATGAATCTTAGAGCCACAACCTCTCACTGGCGACTGCCGTGGGAAACAGGCTTTTGTGGGGTTACCCCCGAAAGGAACACAGCAGGAGGCTGCATCGTGGAGACGCTGGGCATACAGGCCTCCAGGACACAGACGCTCCAACTCCAGATGTTACGTAAGGGGGTATCTGCAGTCGGGATCAAAGCCCCAGCGACCGCGCCATAGGGCCGTTCAGAGGCCGCGCGACACCGATTCAGCAAGGGCCATGCCCCCCGCAGTGGTACTCCTGCGGCAGTGCGGCTGACATCAGCGATGACATCATCGGAAACGGTCTGATGGTGCACCTGAAGAGTCGCGATTGTTTTATCAAATGGGAATTTAAAAAGGACACTATTTCAAGGTTAACATATAGTTTTATACACTCTATAACTTCACGTGTATGTAACTCAGTAAACATTACATGCAGACACTAGACTACTTCCTATCTCCAGAGGTTTATATCTTCACCTTCCCTGCTCCGGTTCCCCTTAGAAGGTGGGGGAGCCACAGTCTATTTGGGTGCCAGCGCTATTTTAAAACCATCAGTTTAAGACTCTGCTTTTGGGTTTACCTTGAACCATGGTGTAGAAAGAATCAATCGAGGACAAGTTGGAAGTGATGCTGACATCTTCTTCTCGGCTGGATGACTCCAGGTCCACTGTGATGGCCTTATCCATGTCGCCATGAAGGTTTGTGACCACTCCAGTTGGAAATGTGACATTTGTCAGACGACCTTCGCTGTCGTAGCTGAATACAAAGGCATTGACTGTGTTACACAGGGAAGGGTAGGCTCTCCTTATAACATAATGCGCAGCAACATTAGTCACACAAATTTGGAAGAATATTTGTCTTTGTGCAGGAGCTATGCAGACTGAGGACTTCAAACATGCTTTGAAGTAATCAAAGGCTGTTTAACATAGAAGAACCTCACCGGCGAGAGCAAGAGTAAACAGACCAGCTCTCCGTCTCAGCGTGCCGCTCTTTGAAGTGTGACCGAAATCTTCCTGCACGTCTAATTTGCTGTTTCAAAGGGAACATGTTTGCTGATACTAAATTCCTTCGTATTCTCCCATTTTCCTCAAAGTAGATTCAATTCGCTGTTATATCAGTTTTTAAAGTTTTATCAACTTCTACTCTTTATATGACAGTACAATATGAATATATATACGACTTTGTAAAATAGTATGTATGCCTGCATGTATGTATTTGCATATTTAAATGTACTCTTTTAGTATCTTGAGACATCTTTAACAAATAAAATAAACTCTTTTAAAGACTTTATTTCTCAGTGACTGACGTATTGTGTAATGGTAAATTGGGACTTAAAGGCTGGTTGGGATAGTGATAATCTATCTTGTCCATGCTGACATTGTAGCAATGGGGGTTATTTTGAGTGGTAATTTATTATGTTTACTGAAATGGGATGTCGTAGTTACTGACATTTAATGATTAGTTGCTTTATTATATACTTACTTTTTTAGCATATAACATATGAGGAACTTACAATTTAAATGTTCAGATATATTTTAAAAAGCTGTCCCATAATCATAACTATGCATTATAGATACAACATTTCATTAAAGAATTGATTTTTCAGTGACTTTTCCATTTGTGGTAGCACACGAGGACATTTCAAAAATGACAATGTGGTTTGAAGAAAGAAAAAAAAAAGCAAGTTGTGGGTGAAAAACTAAGGAATTTCCTTGGGACAACAACATACTTAAGGCTGGATTTCAGATTGATACAAAGGCTGCTTCATCAGCAAAAGGTCTAGGTGACCTAGAGGCTTGAACAAAATCCCACCTACAGGAAGCCCAGACGCAGAGCTAGTAGGGAAAGCATCTCAATAGTGAAAGGCAGAAGGCACCAGGGAAGGAAAACGTGAGGAATATCTTAATAATAGGTATGACTATGGGGCTCCAAGGCCTTAAAGGGTAACAAAAAATGCTTAAATGATATTTGTTATAAAAGGACAGAGGGCAACTAGAGTAACAAATTAGCTTTGACAACTGCGGTTACTCATTAGAAGAAGGTTCTAGGTCATAAAAGTAGAGAAGACCCAGCGAGGGTAATGTCACGGTGGAAACGGAAAGGGGAAGGGAGACAGGAGGAAGGAGAACCGTGGGTGTCCGTTCGGGCCCAGTGATGAGCTGGTCCCATTAATTCGGTGGGGCCCGTAGCAGTCAGATCACGGGGCTGACGGACTAGTTCTGACAATTCTCTGTGCTGCTCCGCCAGCGGCAGGAACGGGCCCTCAGACGAGAGCCACACGTGATGGAGAAACAGAAGAGAAAGAGAATGCGCCATTAAGTGTAATCATTGTTTGGACCCATAAAAGGCAGAGCTGAAATAAAAAAGGGCCCGCACCCCCTCCCCACCGTCCCCAATGCCGCGGGGCGGACGAAGGCCGCCATGAAAGAAGCCCAGCATGGTTTGTTGCTGTCATTGCCATTTGGAAGAAACGACTGCCCCTGAAGAAACACACATGCATTAGGAGTATTTATACAGAGTTACTGATAAAACCAGCCTGCGGTTACATCTAAACCTGGGCATCTTTCCTGCCTCACGTTACGTTTCTTGTAGTATAATATGAAAACACGTTAGTGTGTTTTGAAGAAATGAACATCCCTTAGAATGCTCCTTTGTAAAAGGTAGCTTAGTCCCTGCATTACAGGTGGAAAAACGAAACGCGACGTGGTCAGGGGGCTCGGTCGGGCTCAGGCTGCGTCTCCCGACAGGACTAGACCTGGAACTTCGCGTGCCAGGCCCCGGCCCCATTGGCCTTGTGCAGATCACAGCGCCTGGCTTACGGCGGGGAGTCCAGCTTCCTGCGCACGGCGCCAGCTGCCAGCGCTCTGCTGATCCCTTCTCGCCGCTGTCACTCACCTGTCCCCTCGCAACCCTCTTGCAGGTCTATGTTTTCTAGCTCCATTCACTCTACAGCGGAGCATCGCCCGTCTGCGGACAGCCCCTGTCTCACCTGTGCTCACCGGCCCACCAGATGCCTGTGTCCTGGGGGCTGTGCCCCAGCACAGGAAGCCGAGCGCTGGGCATAGAACACAGGGCGCTGGGCCCCCAGCCTCCAATGGATTAGCCTTGGGTGCTAGTGGAAATAAAAATACAAGGAACCTTTGCAGGTGGTGCAGTTAGAATGATGTCAGGCTGAGCTGGGATCCGCGTGGCCAGTGACACAGTCCAGTCCTGGGGGTTCTGCATTTGCCTTTCTGAGCAGTGGCTGGACCTAAGTTAAGGCACCAATGGGGCTCAAGCGCATACAGCAGGGGGCCAGGCCAGTGGCCCCCGCGCAAGGGCCCTTGGAACTCCTGCTGGGCTGGTCGCCTAACTGCTCCCAAGCAAGGTTACAGGGCGAGGGGACGGTGGCTACAAAGAGCGTAGGGAGCCGGAGGGGGAGAGAAGCCACGGACACAGGAAAACGGGCTCCCTGTAGGTGGTGAGGGCCCTCAGGGTGCCCGGAGTGTGGGGGCAGCCAGGGGGGGGCCGCCTCCAGCTGGGGCCCTAGGCCTGGCCTCGGCATAGACACGGGGTCGAGACAGGGGGAGGTGGCATGGGACAGCGCCGCAGCCAGGACAGCACAAGGCGAGGGAGCAAAGCAGGTGTGGGAGGGAGTGGACGAGCCCCGCTGAAGGGCAGGGTCCTCTTAGCGTCCGCGACGCGGCGGAGGGAGGCACTGGGCAGGCTCCGTCACCGGGGACCGAGGGGGCTGAAGAACACTGGGCAGGAAAAAGGGCTCGATCGGGCCAACGATGGCGGCCTCAGAGGAGGAGCCCGGGGCGAGGTGACCGGTCCGAGAGCGAGTGCTTCTCAGACCGGCCGCTTTTACACACCAGGGGGAAAAAACATCCAGGGGACTGGCACAGGGTGTTGGAATTAAACATGATTACATGTTACCTCCATCATAAAACAAAAGGCACACAAACAGATCAAGGATAGACAGGGCCGACCTTCAGGGTGAGAGACACTTCTTTCCGAGAAGTAAGTAAAACTTTATGAAAAAATTCTCCACATCATTATTGTTATCATTTTCTTTTCATTTCAGTGTGGATCAGTGAAAACTTTTTCACGGATTAGCACCTATGTCAAGGGAGGCGAAAACACGGTGGAGGAGGACATTAGAGTTACCAGGGACTCTGGATGAAGGAGGGAGCCAAGAAAAGGGGTCAAGGGCAGCTTCCAGGTACTTTCAGAAATGCCAGGTGACCCCTTCTTGTCCTGGACAAAGTTAGACACACAACGCACCAGCCAGTGTCCAACCGTCCCCTGACAGACTGGGACCTTCGGTCCTGAAAGAGCCCCCCCCACCAAACTCATGCCGCTGGGCACATTCTCTGCTCATGAGCAACTTCGTGGCTTGGCCTAGCGTCACCCGGCCTTGGCGGTGAACCCGCGGCCCCGCTCTTCTGTGTGAGTGTGTTTCCTTTCATTGGCTTTGTGACCTGACAACGCAGGAGACTCCAGGGAATTGGAAGAGACCATCAACTCCATTCCCCTCACCCGGCCTTAGCCTCCCAGCTTCCAATTCCTAACACGGTGCATTCTCTCTGCTCCCCATGGACCCCGCTCACAAAGGACTCGCACTGGAAAAGACGAACTTCCTCAGGCGCTTAGTGACCCTGTGCTCGGCCACTGATGGAATGCCCATTGGATGTTTATCTTTTTGTTGTCTTTAATTGTGATTGCTTTTTTTTTTTTTTTGCCTAGACTTGCTGTTTTAGCCTTTGCGGCATATTTTAAAACGTCTTTTCAAGTTTCATAAGCAGTAGGATTATGGACAAATGCCCTGGAGATCAGCACTTCAGCCGCACTCAGGCGAAAATGCTGTGTTCATTGCTGACGGGAAATTTCCTCTCTCCCCCTCACAGACTCCAAGTTCCCAAGTCTTCACTTTATTCTTCATAATGTCTCAGATGTTTATCTTGCCATTCCCACAGCTGCCCTAGATTTAAAGCTGGTCTTTTTGCCTCTCCCTATATTCACTGATACCAACTTAATCTTCGGAAACACAACTCTGATAATCCCCCTCCCTGAACCAGCTGCAGGGGCGCCTCATCTGAGGGGAAATCGACTGACTCGCGCTGTTACCAACACTCGTCGATCGGCTATTGATACTGCAAATTCATTCAAGTGGCCACAACTTGCACATCTCAAAAACTTTCTTTGAAGCCCGACAGCAGTATTATCTATTGTCTTCGGTGCTTCCTCGTCAGAGGGCTCCTTCGATCAAATGTTACGTTTTTAAAAATCATCTTCTGTGGTTGAGAAAAATCTGTGTGAATTAAAGCAGGGCTTTAGAGAAGCCAGTGGACCAGAGACAGGACAATTATAACTCTGGAGAGCTGGGGGGAGCGCTTTTTTGTAGGCTGACAGTGCAGCCCGGCGCGGGATTGGACTCTGTGGAAAACGAGCCGGGCGTACGCTCCCTCCAGGCAGCCTTGGCAACGCCCTGTCCTGCCCTTCCTCCTTGTCACCTGCAGCAGAGCCCACGAGAGCCGGCAAATGTGTGCATCACCGCTGGCTTCCCCAGTCAACGCGGCCTGTCGTAAGAAGGCACGGCAGCAGCAGATGCTGGTTTGGTACGTTCTAGGGGCCTCTGGATGGGATCACGTTCCTTCTGTGTCTTCCCCGTCCCAGAATAAGCTGCTCTGAGAGCTGCTTGGTTGGTGTACATCTGTCTGCTTGCCGACTTGACCCAGAGGAAGAACTCCCATGAAAGACCTACCCTTTCCCCC